CTGCCTCAACCAACAAGTGTCAACAGCCAAAGAGAAACAAGAACATCCGATCCTGACCATTTGTCATTCACGACAACACGATGCAAGACAACCACATTCCAAAAGTCCTATTTAAATAGATGTACCAGAATGTGGAATGTACTGCCAAAGAACTTGATAGGCAATAACACCAGCCTTAGTCAGTTAAAACATAGACTTTTTATGTACTATAAAGTAGCATTACAAACAGTCTATGCATGACGTGGATGATCCAAGAACATGGAAATCAATATGTTTGTCCTGTAACAAGTCCCGTAATCTGTCCTGTGAAGTATCGTGTTGTTATTAGTTTAATGTGTTTGTGATGTCGTATCTTATAAGTAAGGGCCGCTGTAATTGGCGTAAGCTGTAGCGTGTTCCCTGCCATTGTCCATATATGTATTTTCTGTGTTTTAATGTTTATTGGCAAAGTTAAATAAATAAATAAATAAATATTGCACCTTATTTTTAATCATATTTTGGACTTACTTGTTTTGCCAGCTTTGACAACTTCCGTCTTCGTACATTTGGACTCCGCCATTTTCCTTTGTTCATCGGACACAACGTGACCCGAATCCTTTACCTGTATAGATTTATAATTACTCTGGCTCGTTCCTCGTTGACCGAATTGATTAAAAGAGCTTTCATCGTCCATTCTACAGCCATTTTGCAATGCAGTTCTTTTTCCATTCACATGTTTTGTTACCGAAGCACGACCTTCGCGCTTTATTTGACTTGGAATTCTTGTATCGTCCGATTTTGCTCCATTACGAGCCGACTCAGCGTTCACGATCGAATATGTTCCCTCTCGTATAGACTCTCGACGTGGATCACAATACGATGCGTCCACGATACCATCCGAGGAAGGAACATCGTGCCTGGTCGGACGACGTGTTGCTCCCTCGCTATACCGTCGTCTTCGTTCAGGACGATGTGTAGCCGCAACATCAGAATCACACCTAGAAAATAAACAAAAACATGATGGTTTAATCTGATATTGGTTAAGGCTTTTTGCTCACATGATAATACTGGATACCTGCTGGAATACACCGAGTGGATAAAAAAATAATTCAGTTCAAAGACAAGATCAAAATTCAATCAGTTTTAGGACTTAATCATAATTTTTTACATTTCACAATCTATGAGCTTTACATTTTGTCCCCCAGTCAGTATTATTGCACCACTTGGTCGTAGTGACCATAACTCTGTATTATTTTCCATACAAAAGATTAACAGACAGAACCAGCATAAGAAAGTAATTATTCGGCAAGGAAACGTGAGTGCAAAACGTGCTTTCAGCGAATGGCTAACGCAAGTTAATTGGTTGGGTTTGTATCAAACAGTGTCATGTGAAACGAAATTAAATATGCTCCATAATGTCATTGAATCCGGACTGCACTATTGTCTACCAAAGAAGTCTGTCAAGCTGCATACCAGCGATAAACCTTGGATAACCCCCAACTACAAAAATCTTATTGCAAAGCGGCAAAAGGCTTTATTATTATTATTATTGCAAACTCCGAAATCAATGTATTAGAGAGTGTAAAAGATTAAAATCTACCTTCCTCAATACTAAGTTAAATGAGTTGAAATCTAAGAACAATAATAAGAAATGGTGGGACACTGTTAAACAATTAGCAGGCTACCCTAAAAAGCAAGTACCACTGTCTATCGTCTCGGAAGGCAGGACTATCAGCGGCAGTGAACTTGCTGACTGGAAATAAATGCTGCCTTCGTCTCTGTTACGAAACACCTAGACCCCTTATATAGCACTCCTGTCGGCATACAACACGAAATCGATTATCCTGAAATTCCACCTGAACTTATTATTAGCGAAATTGACGTTTATCGCAAATTATCCACAATTTCAATTTCAAAGTCGTCGGGTCCTGACTGTGTTCCTAACTGGGTCCTAAAGTCTAATTCATTAATACTTGCCTTACCAATAGCATCCATATTAAATGCATCCATACAACAATCATTGGTCCCTACTATCTGGAAAAAAGCCGATGTTATTCCGATTCAAAAAGTAAAGAATTTAAATTATATTAGTACGGACTTGCGACCAATTTCTCTTACACCTAACTTAGTTAAAATATGTGAACTATTCATTGCTGATTGGCTGATGAAATCGATTATTGATAAGATTGATAAGCGGCAATATGGTTCACTAAAGAGATCATCGACAACTCACGCACTTTTGAGCTTCATTCACCATTTACTCAGTAGATCCTATTGGATTTCGCTAAGGCTTTTGACCATATAATTTTACTTCGAAAACTATCTCCATGGAAGTCCCACCAATTATAATTAGCTGGATTAAAAACTTCCTAACAGAAAGAGCACAACGTGTCAAGATTGGCCTTTGTGTGTTCGAGTGGCAAAGAGTTAATGGCGGAGTGCCCCAAGGAACCGTACTGGGACCAATCCCTTTCTTGGTCATGATAAACGACTTGCTTGAAGATTGGCAGCACCGTTGGAAGTATGTCGACGATACTAATGCCACTGAATGTATCAGGCCAAATTGCCCATCTCACCTTCAAGATGTAGTGAATGACGTCACTACTTGGACTATTAATAATAACATGAAACTTTTAAAATATTTCCAAATGCAAAGAGCTAATAATCGATTTTGCTATTAAAAGATAAAAGATCTTTCGAACCCCTGACTGTGTCTGGTAACCCAATTAAGCTCGTCGAATCGGAAAAGATTTTAGGTCTCGTGGTCCAAAATAACTTAATTAAAATGGAATCTACACGTGGATAATATCGTTAAAAAGTCAAGTAAACGACTGTATATGCTGAGGTTACTAAAACGGTCTAACGCGGATACGAAGACTTTGATCGTTGTGTACATTACTGTAATAAGACCGATACTTGAGTATGCTTGCCAAGTGTGGCATTTTAACATTCAAAATTTTTATCTGAAGACATCGAACGAATCCAGAAACGCGCACTAAAGATCATTGTCCCCTTTTCAAGTTATGGCGAGGCATTAAAGATTACGGGTATATATCACTACACTGTACGACCGGCGTAAAAGCCTTTGGCTTTGCGACCAATTCTTTAGACAAAATATGAATAATAACACAATGACGGACTTGTTTCCAAATCAAATTATGACTTAAGATTACCACGTAAATTTAATAATTGTCTGCAAAACGGACCACTTCAAACAGTCTTTTTTTCCCAAATGTTTTTCAAAAAGAATAGTAGGATTATAACC